TTGGAGGCCAAAGTGCCCCAATTGAAGATCTTCAGGAAAGAGAGGGATTTCCAAAGGTTCAACTTCAGGTTTTGGCGCCAACACATGTTTTTCTAACCCCATCCGGTTCTTGGCAGAAACATCTTTTTACGGAGAAGAAAGAAACGGAAAGAGTAAGGAAAGAAAGACAGACAAGTAGATGAAATGGACGATATCTCTGTGAGTTCAATCACGTTAGAAGACTCAACCGACCTCTCAAATGGCTCGACGATTTTCACTGCAGACGTTCCGCGCCCGATTTTTATCTGCACATGACATACAGTAGATTTTCGTGGCGCACCCTGATCGGAAGCGATGATCGACAAGCGCACGTCAGTGGGATCTGAGTCGGTCAAGGCACGTCGGAGGTGTATATCGCCTGTAAAAGATAATATAAAGCGCTAATAGCCTTTGAGGGGGCATATAAGAGGCATTTAAGGGGCATTTGGAGGACCATTTGTGCAACACCGGGCTCAGCCACTAAACGGATTTAGCGCACTTTAAGTTGGTTTATTCACCGAAGGGCTCCTTTCCCCCTTTGAACATAAGCAAAAATGCTTATCTCTACCATAACAATTTAAACTTAATGCCTACAAATTACCATCGACGATTAGCGTTATTCTGTCATCGTGGAAGGGGTCCTCCGAATGCCCCCTCCAGAGTAAATAGCGCCTAATACCGTTACTTTCGTGCGTGAGAACAAAACTAGAGACAAATGAAGAAGAAAGCATTCGTTCCCTCATTTCATAACAAAAAAAGCAACTGCAGACCTCTAGTTTCTCCCTTTCATGACAAAAATGAATGCGCTCACCGTTGCTTTTGACGACGAATAGCGGATGAGACTGTTGGCTACGGTAGACTACCGTACCGTTCGAGCCGTTGTCTGGATCGGTGATTACTACCGTACCGACCGTTGTCGCCGGAGTTGAATCGAATGGCACCAACATGGACGTCACCGAAGTACATGAGGGGGCATTATCGTTGACATCAGCGATGCGAATGTGAACCACTGCAGACGTGAAGAGTGATGGCTGAAGAAAAGGTGATGAAGTACTGAGCTAAAATATGGTGTCAAATATGCCAAAAAGCGAGCATATGGTTTTCTGTACGATACTGTCTTAGAGTTGAAGGTACATCCACGATAGTTGGTGGGCGGAGTCAAGCCTATCATTGCCGTCTTTATCATTGATGCCCCTCTTTCTTGAGCCTGAGACGATGGGGAATAAGTGCGCGCCGCTCAGGTATACAAAACGCTAGGTTTCATTCCGTTCATATAACCAGCTCTCAAATCGGAACAGTTAAAACCGCCAAGTCGATAAAAGTATTTTAACAAGGTAACTCCCTCGGCCCTAGGGGTGATGTCTCTTGAATGACAATGTATGAATACTTTTTCAGTCCTATCAAAAGGTTGCACAATGCGTGGTGCATCCTAGAGCGAGTTAAGGATCAACAGAATGTTCTCATCAAGAAGCAGCCCACGCTAGTCGTCAAAGGAATGGGTCTTACGAGTGTACCTTTCTCATCCTTATTTTCTGAAGCAGAGCGGACAAAAAAAGGAAG